GCCTCGCCGGCGGCGTCGCGCCCTGTTGCACGCTCGGCCCGCGCCCCAGCCCTCGTTCGGACGCCGGTTGCAGGCTGTCGCGCTGCCGCTGCCGCCACCTTGCGCCGCGCCGCGGCAGGTCTGCGGCCGGCGGCCTTGCGCTCCCGAGGCAGCGCAACCTCGGACACGGGCTCCCCTTCCTCGTCATCCCAGCCGGCCGCGCCGCGCCGCCGCCCCGCGCCGCCGCCGCGGCGCGCCAACGTGTGCGGCGCGGCGCCGGCGGCCCCCATCGACTCGCTGCCGCTGCCACCACCCAGTTCTTGCGCTGCCGGCGTCGCCGCCGCGGACGGCGCGTGCGGGCCGAAATGCTGCCCCGCAGCCGCAGGGACCGAATCAGCGGCTGGCGAGGGCACCGCGGTGGCGGCGCCGCCAAGGACGAGTCGCTTGCGGCGGCGCGGCAGCCCGCTGGGGCGGGGGCTGGGCAGCAGCTCGGGCTCCGGCCCTGTATGGGCCGGCCCCTCGCGCCCCTGCTCTTTGGGTTCAAACACGTGCTGGATTAGGATTGCTGCTGCTGTTGCTGAGTGCTGCTGCTGTTGCTGCTCGCGCACCTTTTCTCCCACGCCCGGCCGTCGTGCGTGCGCGCCGCGCGATGCAGCCCCGACTGCCGTCTCCTCTGCCGCCGCCCGCCCCGGCTCCGACTGCCTTCCAGCCGCCGGCCCCTCACCATAGCCCTCCTCCTCCAACGCCTCTTCAAAACCCCCGTCTCCCTTGGCCGCCGCCACGCCCGCAGCAAAGCCTTCGGCCACCTCCAGCACCGCACCTGCCACGGCCCTCGCCTGCGCCTCCACGGCCGCGGCCGCCTGAGCTTGCGCCGTATCCTTTGCCCTGCCGCCAAGCCCAGATACCAGCCTAGCCTGCACTGACTCGACTGAGAACAGCGCGCCCCCGCCGCCGAACGCCACAGCTGCGGCGCGCGGCGGCGGCAGGGCGCCGGGGCCGCCGGCAGCCGCAGCGGCCCGCGGGCGCGTACGCGGGCTGGTCCCCCGCAGCTGGCCGAGCGACAGCGGCGCGCGTCGCCCTGCAGCCGCACCCGCCGCATCCTCCGCCGCCGCCGCCGCCGCCCCCTGCGCGGCTGCTGGCTTGCGTGGCGCGGCGGCGCGCGGCGGCTGTGAAGACGTCGGCGGCGGGCGTGGCTTTGGGCTCTGGAAGGCAGCCTCGACGGCGGCGCCGGCGGCCGCGGCTGCTGCTGCGGCCGCGCGGGCGGTTTCGGGGTCGACGCCTAGCAGGATCAGCTGCGGTGGTGGTGGTGGTGGTGGGGGGTGGGGGTGCGGAGCCCTCTTATGTTGAGTGTGAGGGGAAGGGTGGTAGACAGGTGGGGGAAAATTGGTGGGGTGATGGGTGTCTCATCGGAGGCCTGTTTAGGGGCAGGTCGGGTGGGGTGTCAGCCTCCAGGGAGTGTGACGCGCCAGTAAACTGCTGGAGCTCTCCACATGCGACCATCATGGTCGAACCCGAAATCAAAATCTGACATGATGCTTCAATTCGAAGGCGGAGGGATGAAACGGTCTGAAAACGCAGCTATTCTGCGCAGGAGCCGGCTGCTGCGCCGCGGCGCCATCAGCGGACAGAGCTGGCAGCGCTTCGCCACCCTGCTGAGCCGCCGGCTTACAAGCCCGCGCCGCGCTGCACCCCAACTACGCTCCCTCTCCCACCTGGCAATCGCGGCGAGGCTCTCGCAATACAAAATGCAAACAACCCTACTCCGTCCCAGCCGCGGCCCCGGAATCCCGCACCTCCGCGGCGGTGATGCCTCCCTCTTGCAGCGCCGCCCCGTCGTCCCACAACTCAGCAGCCAGCTGTGTTTGCAGGCCTACGGGCGACACATCGGCACCCTCCTCCTGTTTCTCGTCCTGCTCCTCCTCCTGCTCCTCGTCTTGCTCCTGCTCCCGCCAATGTTGCCCTGGCTCCTGCTCCTGCCCGTGCTGCTGACCTGGCTCCTGCTCCTGCTCCTGCTGCGGCACCTGCACCTGCCCCTGCTCTCGCCTTCTGTCCTCTGCCGCGGCCCCTGCGGCCGCACCAGCGGCCGCGCCGGGCGCCTTGGTCGCGGGCTGCACCTCTTCTGGCCCCGCGCCGCCCGCCTCTGACCTGCGATAGCGTTCCTCGACGACCATCGCCTCACCCATCCCGCCCTCCTCACGCCCTGCGGGCTCCAACCCGGCCTCGGAAACCTCTACACGCGCCGCCGCCTCGGTACCTGTCACCGCAACCCCTGCTGCTCTTGGGCCGCCGCCGGCCGCGGTGCGTGGCTGCGGGCCTCCATTCTCTGCGCCACGAACGCCTGGCTCCTCAGCCGCTGCCACCTCGCCGCCTGCCGCAGCGCCCGCCAAGCCGCCCGTGGCGCCTGTGGGCAACACCCAAGATGGATACCCCTCCGCGGCGCCCGCCCCGGCTGCTGCGCGCCCCTCTGGCGCCCTGCCACCAGCGCTGGGCTGTCCTGGGGGTGCATCAAGCAGCGTGGGTGGCGGCGGCCGCTGCAGAGCTTCGAGGGGCACCTCTGCTGACGCGTTGACCCCAAGAGGCGAATGCTGCTGCTCTGCCTGCTGCCCCTGCGCATGCTGCTGCTCTGCCTGCAGCCAGTCTAGGTCATCAATTTCCATAAGTGATTGCCCCTCCATTTCCGGGGGCTGCTGCATTTCGTATTGCTCCTCTTCTAGTTGCGGGGAAGCGGCCTGCTGCTGCTGCTGCGGCTGCGGCTGCGGCTGCTGCTGCTGCTGCTGCTGCTGCTGCTGCTGCTGCTGCTGCTGCTGCTGCTGCTGCTGCTGCTGCTGCTGCTGCTGCTGCTGCTGCTGCAACTCTTCGCCTTTCTCGGGGTGCCTCACACTGATCTCCAACGCCCTGGTTGCGGGCGTGGCGCCCGCATCGCAACCGGGGCCGGGGATGATGAGGCCGGGCGCAGCGGCGGCAGCGGCGGCGGCGGGTGCCGGGCCCTCTGGCGCGAGCGCCGCCGGCAGCCGGCCTTCCACAGATGAGAGGGCCTCGCTTCTTGATTCCAGGCGCACACCACTGGATGTCACGACCACCTGTTTCAATATGCGAAGAGGTCGAGGGCTGAACTGTCTAGTGGGGTTTACTCCGTCGGCAGTGCCGATGCCACCAGATGCGAGAGGCGGCGGCGCAACTTGTCACATGCCAAGACCGGCTGGGAGTGCTGAAGGCGCAATGTTGTCGCATTCAAGTCACACTCACGCCCCGTCAAGGCACCTTGAATGCTAATAGCTGCACACAGGGGCCAGCAACGTCGCTGCTGGGGGCGACAGTGTGCGAGACACTGCCGCCGTCTTGGACGATGTCGTATGCCATGAAAGGTAAAGCCTAAGATTTTTATGTACTCTTTTGATGTGCTGTTGCTGTTTAGGCCACTTACAGATCACAGCGGCCAGTCGCGTAGACGTATTGCTTCGGCCCTTCCGCGGTGCTATCGTGATATGATCCACCAGTTTCAGAACGTTTTCATGATGTGTCCGGCGCTGCTGCTCTCATGCGCCCGTCAATGGCATGCTGCGCGTGCTGCGGTGCTGAGGTCAGGTCGAGGTGGGTTTGCATGTCGACTGAGGTGGTCCCGGGGTCGAGGCAAGCCATGCCCTTCCAGAAAATTCAGATGTGATCTTACAATGAATTGGCGGCGCAAGACGACGCCATGCAATAAGCGCGTTGTGGTTTGGAAGCAGAGAATGGCTCCGCCGTGCAGCTCGCTCACGCCTCACTTGGAGCCCGCTCGCATCCGCGATTGCGCAGAGGCGCTGGGATCGAAATGTCAAATTTTGAATGGTGCGCTTGCTGGTTGGGTTCACGGTCACGTGCACTCATGCCAAGCGGTCTGCTCAGCGCGTAAATTGAGTTGGGTTCTGCAGGAAATTTCGAGTCCGCCGGAACGCAGCCACGCGCGCATGAAGTGAACAATGGGACGGAGGAGGGGGCCCTGAACCGCCCGAAGTACATGATGCGATGTAAATATCTCGCACCTGAAGATCAGCGCAGCGTGGCGAGCACATGGCATCCGACGCAAAAGCAACAGCAGAAGTTCAATAGCCCCGGCTCTGGCAGCGCCCGGCACGCGCACTGCATGCCACCACTTCGTGCAGGCGCTAACCAGTTTTTTATTGGATGCAAAATGCCCCAGCTTGCAGAATGCCGCCGCCAGCGGCATTTATGCGGCAAAATCCCGCAAACGCCGCCGGCCTGGTGCGGAGATCGCCGCCGGTCAAGGCAGGGGCCACGGCTGATGCGCCCAGCAGTGCAGGTGCCGGCGGCGGTGCTGTGGATGTTGGATTCCGTCACAAGGCCCAGGCTGCAGGTGGCCGTGTTTAGAGAGCGCCCAGCCTGACGGCCATTCCTCATGGGCAGCGCCCCACCATCGATTGTAGCGCCGCCAACCACATCACCGGCCGCCTGCCCTGCAGCCACCCGCTTATCGTGCGCCGCAGCCCCGCCCGGCCCCCTCCCCCCGCCGCCCTCGGCGATCAAAGCTACCCCCCACGCGCCTCCAAGATGGCAGCCACAACGGCTTCCAGCGCCGCCGGCGGCGGCTGCGCAGGGACGCCCACGGGCTCCATCCCCGGCAGGGCGCCGCCCCGCGCCGCCGCTCCAGCGGCGACCGAGGCGGCTGCCGCCGCCGCCGCGCGGCGCAGCTCGTGCAGAGGCCCGCCCCCTTCCCCGACCGCGGCGGCCGGCGCCGAAAGCCACGCTTGCAGGTAGTCTCCGCGCTCCGCGAGGCGCGACGCCGCGAACTGCGGCGGGGACACCTGAGGTGTGGTGATGCGTTGGCGGCCGTTTGGGACCCAGGTGGTCTTGGAGAGCATGGGGTTCCTAGCCACATCCGCTTTGCTGATTGGCTGCTGAGGCTGGGGCGTCACCTCCCAGGGAAACGAGCCAGGGTTATCCCTTCTGTAAAACGGTGCTCCTTGCTGCAGGCGTGATGCCGTGCAACCATGTCCCTAAAACCTGCCCACAGGCTCTGCTGGCCACCCAATATTCGCCTCTAGGCTGCGCCTTTGAGACGCGACCCACGCACCCCTCCGACGGCCCGCGCCGCACCTCGGCTGCGTGGGTCCGCATCGCCTCTGGCGAAGGCGCTGTTGCTGCAGGAGAAAGCGCCGTATCAACGGCGTCTGTGGCTCCACTCAGAGGGGCCTGGGATGTGTGCATGAAGGGGTCCGAGGTGCCGCCGCAGCCCTCCAGTATCACCTGAAGCCAGGCATGTGCGTGAGAGAAAGCAAGCAGAAATACGTCTGTGCGTGCGTGTGTGTGCTCGCGTCCATCACACGCGTGTCCGTGTGTGCGCACGCTTGCACGTGTGCGCGTTCGAGGCAGCGCCCGGGACTGCCGAGCGCATGACTGTGATGAACCTCGATCATGACATTTGGCAACCTAAAAATGTGAACCTGGAGCCCCCGTTACGACCTCACCTGCGTCTGCCACGCCAGCTGACCCTCGCTCACGGCAGGCTCCGCTGCAACGGCCGCGCCCCCCGCCTTGACTCCAGCGCCTCCACGGCGCGTCAGCGCGGCGGCTGGCACTGTGCGCGCGGCCGCCGCCGCCGCCGCCCCTCCGCTGCCGCCATGCTGAAATGCGACAGCGGCTTGTGACGCCCCACCCATTGCAGCAGCGAGCGGACATTCCCTCACAGCGGCTCTCACGCGGCCTGCCCGACGACTGCGCACCCCAGCCAGCACGCCGGACGCCTCCCGGGCCACACTGGCTGCTGCGGCCCGCGCGCGAGGAGCCACGTGACAACACGGCGCCGCAGCGCCGCGGCGAGCCGCATCCTCCGCACCGGCGCGGGACGCAGAGGTTGAGCTGGCAGGGGCGGAGTCTGAGGCGGCTGTGCGGCGGCCGCGGCGCTCGGGCGCAGTAGCACGAGCAGCCGGCCGGGGAGCCGGTGACTCCGGCCGAGCGAGGGCCGCCTGTGGAGACACATGGTAATTGTGGGGAGGTTCGTCACTCTCTACACTGCTATGATCTCAATACAAATGGAGACGTTGAGGCCAGGCCGTCCAGTCTGGCTGCCCGCCTTCCGACAACTGCCCTGGCTTGCAGCACTGATTTCGGCTACAAACAGCGTTCGGCTCGCTGCGCCGCACGCCGCACGCAAGCAATTGGCCTGTGCCGCGCTCCAGGCAGAGAGCTCGGCGCATCCCCACCTTGGGCGTGGCGGATTGCGCGCCGAGCGCGGCGCTGGCGCCGAGGCGCCCGCCGACACGCCGCATTGACCGCTGCTCCCGAGCAGCGGCGGCCGCCACAGATGGATCGCGACACGCCTGTGGTTTTGGAGGGGTGCTTTCAAAAGGCGCATACACATTATAAGACCTTGAGAGGTCCACATATGCCAGGCGTGGGCCCGAAGCAGCAGAATTTCACCTGGCAGTGGTGCGCTAGCAAAGCGACGGCCGCAGGAGTCGCAACTGGGGCCGCGCGATGCAGCAGCATGTCGGCCCGGCGACAGAGAAACATAGCTGACAGGCTACTTTTGTGTTTCAAAAGTGGACTGCGTACAAGGACTTGAGCCGCGTTGTCAAGCGCATAACATATTGCGACCAGATCCCTGGTTCTTGTTCTGATATGATTCACAATAAGTGATTTCAAAAATGGTGCACGGATGACGGGTAGAAAGTCGTCGGATACGACGCTCAACAGGCTGGTTTGACGAGCATCGGCTCTCTCTCACGGGACAGCGAAGCGAGGACGCCCAGCCTGTTGTAACATTCAAAAGCACAGAAGCCTCACCTAATCCAACGGTTGGCGCCTGGGTACCATAACGCCCATCGGACCCGCTGGCCCGCCCACTTCCGCTTGGCTCTCCAATCCTGTACAGTTCTTTCTGGTCCAGCTCTGGCCTTGGTGCTGAACTTCCGTCGACCCGCCCCATTCTTGACAGCATCACAATCACATGCCGCCCGGTATGTCACATGTGTGACCTGGTAGCACCAGCCCATCCAACCACCTGGCTGGACCCACAGGTCAGACCTGAGCACTCAAGACGGTGATGTGCACACTGCAGTGTGCGCCGGGATTCTGTCGGTGTTGGCAGGGCTAGTCTTTTGCATGTTTGTTGACCGCACCGCGTGACAGGGTGCTGGCGCCGTCCTTTAGAATGGGGCCGAAATAGCACTGCTGTTGCCTGCTTGCCAGTTGGACTGCCCCATCCAGCCCGGTGGCTATTGGCGCAACCTCCAGACCGTCTCCGGAGTGGCGGTGGTTTGGGACTGGCATTGGGATGACCGATGTACACCACAGCGACACAGCCCGCCGGCTCTACCACCACCTCATGTACCTGTGCGCAAGTTCGCAGCCCGCAACAAAAGGCGTCACGATTGTCGTGGCACCCCATTAGAAGTTGTGGCATAGCGGGCAGTTGGGGCGGCTTCGGGTAGCTGGGAGGCTGCGCACGGTCCCCTCAGGTCGTTTTGTCCGCCTGCGGGTGCCCGGGTCGCCACGACTATTGTTGTATGTCAGGCTTCGGGGTGACGGTTGCATCAGGAGATGCCAACTGCGTCTCGCCACCCTTGCCGTCCATGGAGGCATCCGACTTGAGCGACCGCGTGGACTCAATCAGAGGTACAGTGCTAGCTGTGCGCGGCAGCACCCGCGGCAGGGGTGCTGCTAGTGGTGAGCCTGGGCGCAGCCGCTCAAGACAACGCCGTGCTGTAAAAATTTGACCCAAAACATTGCACGACAACACAACACTCGCACGCAGGTCGCGAGACGGGGCTGGGTTAGACACGAAGCTAGACACAATCCTGCACCCGAGGCACTTCTGGTCCAAACGCCGGCGTGGCCCGCAAAGCCCATTTTCTGTCAGATTTGTGTCGCGGTGTACCTGTGTTAGCTTTTTCGAAGCGTGTTGTGGGCTGGGACGCTGGGCACGGTGGGAAACGATCCACAAAATATCTCGCTCACTCCCAGCGGGGCCGTCAGCACGTCTCATACCCTTCACAAGGCTCGCATAAGCCCTCACAAGCGGTGGCAAGCGGCGTTCATCGCCCACAACGGGCAGCGAACACCTGGCCTCGCGGGCCTCACAGGGCTCAAACCAGGGCCCGTGAGCACGAGAAGGTGACGATATGGGTCGGTGTGATTGCTTTCCCGCGGCACAGGGGCCCAGACGCACCGCGGCGTCGATCTGGTCCCGCCGCTCGCGCGCAGGGTGCCTGCAGCGGGCCGGTCTGATTGGCGCACCCGGCCCATCGGCCCGGCTTATGCGATTCCCCTCACGCCCGCATTTGCAGAGGCGCTCATGCTTCAATACATCGCCCCCGACGGCGAGGCCGCCGACGCGCCATGCGCTGCGTCGGCCCCGCCGATGGCCAGCGAGGCGCCGCCCCCGGTCGCCCCCGAGCGCCCGTCAAGCAGCGGGTCCAGCAGCAGCAGCGCCGCCTTCGCGCAGCCGCCGCAGCCGACGGAGC